TGTAGCAGTAACACTGAAACAGTTTTCATACAACAAAGACAATATCTTCTGTTATTATTAACATATGTATATGAGTTTAGTAGTAACCGAACAGCAAAAGTTCTCAAACAACCTTGCAATAAAGAAGATATCCTCTAGAATTATTAAGCTACCTTATATACATGTTTTGTGTAGCCATATACATCTAAACCGTTTTCATACAACCTTATAATAACGCATATGCCTATATTCATTTCGGTTATCATCCAATGTACATGATTATTGTAGTCAAACAAATGAGCAGTCTTCATAAAACCTTGCAATAATAATATATCCTCTGAACTTATTAAGCTACCTTATATACATGTTTTGGGTAGCCATATACATCTAAAACCTATAACGCTTAATATTCATATAAGTTATCACCTCATGTACATGACATGATCATTGTAGTCAAACAAATGAGTAGTCTTCATAAAACCTTGCAATAATAATATATCCTCTGGAATTATTAAGCTACCTTATATACATGTTTTGTGTAGCCATATACATCTAAACCGTTTTCATACAACCTTATAATAACGCATAGGCCTATATTAATTTCGGTTATCATCTAATGTACATGATTATTGTAGTCAAACAAATGAGCAGTCTTCCTAAAACCTTGCAATAATAATATATCCTCTGAACTTATTAAGCTACCTTATATACATGTTTTGGGTAGCCATATACATCTAAAACGGGCGGTCCTCGTAAAACCTTGCAATAAAGATAATGTATCTCTTTAGTATTGTGTTATATACATTTCCAGTGTACCAATACTAATGAAACACTAGTCATACAGCACTGAGGGCTCGAGTGCCTCTGGGTAGCAGTGAAGCATATCACTTTGCGAACCCTGGCCATAAGTAACCATTTCTTTCCTCTTCTCCTTGCTTCACATTTCCTTCTCGTTCTCTATTATTTCTAAGATAATTGTATTTAATATGTTGAATTTGTAGATACTGTGAATCTCTGATTTTTATGGCCAAATAAATGATAATAATATAGTAAAGAAAACGTGGTCTTTAATTATTGTCTTATTTACATGATTATTCTAGCGATACTAATTGAACAGTTCTGAAACCACCTCGTAAAGCATCATATTCATTGTATGTATTACGTAATTCACATCATAATTGTAGCAAAAAAAACTTAAATAGTATTGATACAAGTGTCAACAAAAATAAATCTTCTGTAATTATTATCACTAAAATATATGATTAATGTAGCGATGAAACTGAAACAATATTAATACAACAAATAAAACATCTTTTATAATTATTATCCAATGAATATGGATTGATTATTGTAGCAACAGAACAGCAAAACTTCTCAAACAACCTTGCAATAAAGAAGATATCCTCTGGAATTATGAAGCTACCTTATAAACATGTTTATTGTAGCCATACATCTAAAACCGTTTTCTTACAACCCTATAATAACGCATATATTCATTTCAGTTATCACCTCATGTACATGATCACTGTATTCAAACAAATGAGCAGTCCTCATAAAACCTTGCAATAAAGAAAATATATCAAGTAATCATTGTCTTACATCCATGTCCATTGTTGCATTACAAATGAAACACTATAGTGATATAGCCTTATAGTAAAGAAAATGTGGCCTGTAATTATTGTTTTATTTACATGATTATTTTAGCAACACAAAATGAACAGTTTCCAAACCACCTAATGGGGTACTACATATTTATTGTATGTATTATCTTATTTACATTATCATCGTAGTAATCGAACTGGAACAGTATTCATACAAGTGTCAACAAAAACAAATCTTGTGTAATAATTATCATAAGTCAAAAAATTATTAATGTAGCAGTAACACTGAAACAGTATTCATACAACAAAGACAATATCTTCTGTAATTATTAACAAACGTATATATGACTTTAGTAGAAACCGAACAGCAAAAGTTCTCAAATAACCTTGCAATAAAGAAGATATCCTCTGGAAGTATTAAGCTACCTTATATACATGTTTTGTGTAGCCATATACATCTAAACCGTTTTCATACAACCTTATAATAACGCATAGGCCTTTATTCATTTCGGTTATCATCTAATGTACATGGTTATTGTATATATATATACAAATGAGCAGTCTTCATAAAACCTTGCAATAATAAGATATCCTCTGAACGTTTAAAGCTACCTTATATACATGTTTTGGGTAGCCATATACATCTAAAACCTATAACGCATATATTCACATAAGTTATCATTTCATGTACATGACTATTGTATTCAAACAAATGAGCAGTCCTCATAAAACCTTGCAATAAAGAAAATATATCCTGTAATTATTGTCTGATAAACATGTCCATTGTAACAATACTAATGAAACACTAGTCATACATCATTGAGGGCTCGCGTGCCTCTGGGTAGCAGTGAAGCATATCACTTTGCGAACCCTGGCCCATATTTAGCCATTTCCTTCCTCTTCTCCTTGCTTCTCATTTCTTTCTCCTTTTTTATTATTTCTAAGATATTTTTATTTGATATTTTGAATATGTAAATACTGTGAATTTCTGATTTTTAAGGCAAAAATGAATGAAAATAATAATAATATAGTAAAGAAAATGTTGTTTGTAATTACTGTCTTATTTACACGATTATTCTAGCGATACTAATTGAACAGTTCTAAAACCATCTCATAAAGAATCAAATTCATTGTATGTACTACCTTATTTACATCATCATTGTAGCAAAAAAAGAAATGAAACAGTATTCATACAAGTGTCAACAAAATCAAACCTTCTGTGATTATTATCATAAGTATATGATTAATGTAGCAAAGAAAACATCTTTTATACTATTATCAGATGGATATGGATTGGTTATTGTAGCAACAGAGCAGCAAACGTTTTCAAACAAACTTGCAATAAAGAAAATATCCTCCGAAATTATTAAGCTACCTTATAAACATGTTTATAGTAGCCATACAACTAAAAGAGTTTTCCTACAATCTTATTATAACGCATATATTCATTTCAGTCATCGTCTCACGAACATTATCATTGTGGTCAAATAAGTGAGCAGTTCTCATAAAACCTTGCAATGAACAAAATATATCCGGTAATTATTATCTTATAAACATGTCCAGTTAAGCAATACAAATAAAACAATAGTTATATAGCCTTATAGAAAAGACGATGTGGTCTGTATTTATTTACTGTGGTCTTATTTTCAGGATTATTCTAGCAAATCACTTTATGATGAACCATATATTTATTGTATCAATTACCTTAAATATGTACATTATTATTGTATCAATAGAACTAAAACAGTATTCGTACAACTAAGAAAATATATTCTGTAACTATCATCTTATGTATATGATTATTGTAGCAAGAGAACTGCAAAGGTTTACATACAATTATGGAATAAAGAAATGTCCTCTGAAATTAATAAAATACTTTATATATATACTTGATTGTATCCTACAACCAAAACCCTTTTTATACAACCTTATAATAACGCATATATTCATTCCATTATTTACCACATGGTCATCGTAGTAAACCAAGTGAACGGTTCTTTTAGAACCTTGCAATAACCACATATATTTATACTGCTTTTACTATATCATGTACATTGTCATTGTTGAAACAGAACTGAAACATTCATACAACCTTTCGATAAAGAAAATATCTAATGCATTTGTTGTCATATGTACATGATTTGGAGTGTGCTGCTCTATGGATTTCAGGCATTGACTTTGAAAACGGCAGACATAAAAAACGTTTATGAGTTTTGACATTCAACTTTGGAGGAAGATGGCAAAGATAAGTTGGGTAGATAAAGTGACAGTTCTACAGAGAGCGGGGGAGGAGCGGAAAATTGCAACAACATAAGAGACAGAAGAAATGGAATTTGGCATAATGAATTATGTTAGATATCAAGGATGGAAGGTAAAGGAAAAAGGCCTACAAAGCACGAGTTCCAAACATGACGTTTTTTACACCCCCCCCCCCCCATCACACACCCTATACATTTTTTACCTCTCTTAATACTCCATAAGTCAAACGCCTTATTTAGTAATGAAACTAATATTTTAAAGATACTATGTCCCTTTTGCAGCCAACATCAAATTCTGTAGAACTTTGCAGGAATTATGAATATGTCATGTTTTTCTTATCTGTGAAGTTTAAACATTAACAGTGTTCTAATATTCAAATTATGCAAGGACATCCGTTTACTTGCTAGACTTCACTGTCAGACACTATTGAGTGACTGGCTGGCTTTTTCTTCTTTGGTAATAACGTACATAAAATGAGCTGTAAATGGTACATGAGCATTTGTCCACATCAACTCACTTCTTGAAATGGCCAAAATTAAACTGATTGAATCTTTGTGCAGCATAACACGTACGACCATTCGGTACAATGGTCTGGAAATCAGACTATTACTTACTGGCTCTATAGCTCTAAAGTTGATTCTAATAGTCATTATTTTCCCACTTAAAGACATTTTCAAGCCCACTTTTTGTTAGGGAAGTTCTAAGTTAGTATTATCTTTCAAATGCCGTTTGAATTTAACCTTTTCATTTTGTTGGCCTGCAAATGGGACATAGTACCTTTAAAATAAATTATTATTTATCATATGAAGCTGAAAGATTAAATTGAGTTCTGGTAAATATAACAAATACATTCTCACAGAATCCAACGAAACTTAACACTGAATGTTCAAGATTACAGATAAATGACATGAGCCACACATTTTGGTAGAAAATGTATATAGTGGCTATGAGCATAGGCAGACGGAGAAATTCGGATAAGTAGGCATGATACCATGTGCAAATGGGAGTTGTGGTTTTCATCGAAGATGATTCCCAGTAAGTTTGTGTGGGTTTGTTTTTATTTCATTGGTTCAAACAACCAATCTACTGCAGGATAAACAATCCAGAACAAATAATTGCAATTTTCTCTCAAAATACGAATCCCATACCACAGCTCAAGATTAGCTCCAACTATATGACTCCAAGCAGCATTGGGTATGGAAGAAACAGCAAGTTCTAGATTCAGGCTGAGAATCATGCAGACTTATGATGCATGTTTGTCAAGACATAGGCTTCCCAGCTGAATGCATAAATTAAGTGAATCCCTTCTTAGTTGTGGGGTGATAATAAACATCTCAATGACAAGGTTCCTTACTCATTTGATTTCCATGCTTGTCAGACTTGTGTAATGCTTCTCCTGTTATTCAATAAAACGGAATATAGAAGAAAAAAACATGAACAAGTTTGAGTATTTTTACGTGTTACAAACTGATGGTTTACAAACGAAAAATGGGGGAAAAAAGAACTTTCAATAATTCGAATATTCAGGAATTCGTTTGTTGAAACTCAATCAGTTGTGTTGCTGTTGTCGTTAGAAATGCACTGCCAGTGTTTAAAGTAGCTGTGCGAAGATTTTAAAAAACTAATTTTATTTTCAATATTGCAAAGGTGAAACTTTGATTGGACATTTTTATTAAAATTCAATGCTTGGAAACATTTGCAGTATAGATTATTAACGCTCGATTTCTTGATATCAAGAATTCAATTCTTGAAATCAAGAAATAGGAATACATACATGTTAAAACGGCTAGCCATAAATACGCAGCAATACACAAGCCAATACGCAAAGGTGTGACTGAGTCATTGATTAAGGGATTTGGGAGCATTGTGGTACATTGTTGGCTCTTGACTATTAAGACGCCAAAAGGGCAATCAAAGTTTGCGTGCCGAACTGGACTATCATGTGGGAGGTGCCAGGTTATAACCTTGCTAGGTGCTTGCAATATATGACAAGTTCGTTTCCCCAAAGTCCGTTATTTTGTTCCTTTCAGTTCGTATTAAGTGGGTACCTACAAATGCTTGGCAGTATTTCAAATGGTTCGAGCTCTCTGAATCGAGAACATTTAAGATCGTTTCGCTGCAAATACTTCAGCTGAAAATATTTCATTAGTTTCTTTGGCTATGGTTTAGTAGAAGGGAGTTCGAAAAGATATTCCCATCTTTCTAACAATACACGGGAAATATTTAGTCTTACAAAGCCCCAAAGAATACGGTACTTACGTTAATGTAAGGTTACCTCAGCTGCAACGCCTAACCCAGCATTTTGCAATGCCCTTCGAAGTTCAACTACCTGCTCACTAGGTCGAACCTGCCGTCTCCAGTCGCGTAGCATCTCACCAAAGCCTGACCTAGAGTATTTCTTCATGGAGGAATAAGAGAAGCCAAGCTGGTAACCAAAGGATATTACATCCTTTGGTGTACGGATCACATCGGCCAGGATCTCGAGAAGATTGTTGGATACATACTGGAAATGCCCCTGCCTGTAGGTAAGTAAATTCAAAATATTCGGCGGGGGGGGGGGGGTGTTAAAAAGATTTACAAAAAGAACCAAAGTAAGCTGATAGAGGTTTGGTAGATTTCTTTTTAAAGCATTGATATGAATCCGTGTCCTTTGATAAATCACCATCATCACTATCACTACAAGAAGTCAGCTGTCGCTCGGAAGCCATGCAATTACGGGTATTTTATTGGACCTTTTTAGCGACGGGTTACGCGTCAAGAATGATAAATACTCAGTCTAATTGTACATTCTCAAATAATATAATGATGTAAATGGAAGCTAGACCCTATCAAATACAGAAATGGCAACACCCTTACAGAACAGCAGGCTGTTCGGAGTAGGTGGAAGGGATATTGCGATGAACTCCATGATTACCAACATATCATTAACTACTAGATATTCTGAGGTAAGTCACATTTATTGAGCAGAAGAAAGACCAACAAATTCTTCAGTCTGAGGTTGAAGAAGCTGTTAAAAGCTTAAAAGATGAAATCTTAAAAGACACAAATCTTTCAACAAGGTGTGGAGAACTGGTGCATTGCCGTTTGCATGGAAATTATCACTCATCATACCACTTTCAAAAAATAGTTACCACAAGGCATGTAGCAACTACCGTACTAGAACAACTGAAGACAGGGAGTTATGAAGAAGCCGTGTCTCAACTCTCAAGCTCCATTTAATAGCCTCTAAGCTACAGGACATAGGTGATGGATAATGACTTTCGTTTACTTACGAATCTGAGTGATCGACTGCATAATCCGGTTCATCTGCATTTAACGGAATAAAGAAATACAATGGGACTACATTTTTGTTTACAGTATTCAGAATCGCTATGTTTTAGCTAATTGTAAATAGATGTGTTGTGGGAGATAAATAATCATAATTCAATGGTTTTGTTTACAAACCATTTTTTGTCGACTTTCAGAAGATACGTGAATGCATACAAATTTGTTAGAAACAGAGTTCAGGTTTGAACAGGGCTACCCTACAGCTATTCTTTAAAAATGTTCCTTTTTGTGGGTGCTATATTGGAGACTTTAAAGCTCTTTTAAATGAGTCTTATTGAATTAGCAGAAAAACTGAGATACATTGGAGTTACGTAAATTAAAATGAGTAGAGACTATGATATTACTATTGACAGAAATGACTGATGTTCGGTCTTTGAGATCAATGGTTACAATTAATGACTTATGTAGGGTATTCAAGATAACATGATACAGAATTGACTAACCGGTATGTAGGGTATTTCAGACTTGTGTAAGGTCTTTGTGGTAACTCGTTACAGAAGTGATTTACGTAAGATACATGTACCTGGCTACTTATGATGAAGTGAAATACACATAATATCCTCCTTTGTGATAATATAGGCTTACCTTCTATGGAAATGAACAACTCTCTTTCTGCACGTGTTGCTGACCCTTGTAGTATGTCGATATGGACGTTCTTCTTTCCTTTCTCTTCTGGAGAAAACTGAAGCTCGAATGTCAGAGGGCTGCACTTTCCACTTAGTATACTCTCGATAGTCATCTTGGTTTGAATATCATGGGAATAAATATAATAACGATGATGATAATAATAGTAACAATCGAATGATAATGATAATAATAACAGCAAGGACAATAACAACAACACCAATAATAATGATATAATACTAACAATGATAGTAAACATGACAGCATTATGTTAGGATGCGCATGTGATTCGGTTAAAGGGAGAGAATAGACCGAGAGAGGGATAATTATATTCGATTTGAGGATATCCTTCAATTTCGAAATAAGGAAGATGTTGGATCATTCAGTGGATGTTTTATTGTTGCATTTATAGAAATCATCCTGAACATGAATGTTGATCTCGAAACGAAGTAGGTTTGTAAAATAATAACAAATCAGTTTTAAAAATGAACATCCAAGGAGTTAAATCCTAACTCTTTTGTCGACCACTATTCTTCAACAGACCTTATGGAATATAATTCAGGCATATTTACCGTTCTTTCGTGTTTGTTCATCCCGTCGTCGAACACAATATTTAGGTCCCTTGTGTTTGACTCTATAGAGAACGTTAATTCTTTCGGGACCTGGCAGTAGGGTACAGAAGATCTCTTCTCCTTCATCGATATATCCTGGAATATGAAATTATGCGACACAAATGTCTTTATTGGGGTACCTCAGGGATCAATACTGGGTCCCCTGCTATTTCTTTTATACATAAATGAGCTTTGTAAATCATCTAACTTATTAACCTTCTATCAATTTGCTGATGACACTAGTATATTTTTTTCATCTAAAGATTTGAATAATACTGTCCGCGTTCTAAATAATGAGCTTAAGAATATATCTGACTGGTTAAAAGCAAATAAATTGTCTCTGAAAGTTGACAAAACTAAATGTGTTTATTTTCGAAGATCTAAAATTTCCAAAATTTCCGATATAGCTAGCAATAACGGTCCTTTAATTAATAACGATAATATTCCCATTTATATTAATAATAAACTTATTCAATTAAGTAATTCCGTTAACTTCTTGGGTGTCGTATTAGATAATTGCTTGGGATTTAAGGACCATATCACAAATGTTTTACATAAGATCAGCAGAAATGCTGGCTTGATAAATAAGCTAAAATATAGTTTGTTACCCGAAAATTTGATAACTTTATATCATTCCATTATTTTTCCTTATTTGAAATATTGTAATATTGTATGGGCCACTAATGCAACACAAACTGAATTAGACTCACTATTTAAAGTTCAAAAGAAATGTTTCAGAATAGCTACCAATTCTCATTATCTAGCACCTTCCGCGCCTTTGTTTAAGAAGCTATCGTTATTAAATATATATGATATAAATAAGCAAGAAATCGCAACATTCATGTACAAATATAAAAACAAGTTATTACCTGCCCCCTTTTCAGACCTCTTTCAATATAAAAGTCAAATTCATAATTATAATACACGGCTTTCCAACAAATTTCATTTATGGTCTGTTAAGTCTAGTTATGAAGCTAAATCAATGAGTTATCTAGGTCCTAAACAGTGGAATATGATTCCCCAAGTAATAACGAAATCACAATTCATATCTTCCTTTAGAAAACAATATAAAATCTTACTACTAAATAATTATTAATCAGCACAGTTGTTGATTTTTTTTCTTTTTTTCTAATTTTATATCTGAACCCTCTTTCATTGTTACTTGTTTTCCTTTCCTTTTTTTCCCCCTTTATATATTGTTTTTCTTCTCTCTATTTTACTTTCTCTTGTTTTATAGGTAGTTGAAGTGTTTGTACTTTGCTTATTTTACTTAATTTATTGTTATGTGCTTATAATATGTTATACATGTATTTCTTTTTGTATTGTTTTTCATTCTTTAAAGGGCGATCCAACTTCACAGGTTCTCGCAACCTTCATGGAAAGCCCCGCATATATCCTTTGTAAACATAGTTAAAATTTACTGTTACTTTGTATATTTTGATTTTTAGATTGCGAAATAAAATTGAATTGAATTGAATTGAAATGTCGACAGTGCAAAATGATTACATTTTAAGCAGATGATGAACATCAACTAGGACTGCTAAAAAAACATTGGCCTACATTATTTGTACTTGCGCATATGTAAAGTTCATTTAAATTTTGTTGATGTAACAATTACATGGTAGAAATAAAAGTATGAATAACAAACAGAAAATAAGTAGTATTAATGAAAAGTTTTGTACACTGTTCTGCCTGCGTGTGTGTTGGTGTGTCCGTGGGCATGTGAATGAATGAGGTTGGCTGTATGTTTGTTTTGATTAGTTTTATAATATTTTTCATTATAATTTGCTTGTTTGTTTATTTTTGTACAGGGCCCCATTTTTACAAGCTTTGCTTATCTTGGGGTCCTTCCGATTTTGCTGATCACTTTTTATGTATTGTTTACTTTGATTTTTAATGGAAAATAAATTAACTGAATTGAATATGTTAGTTACCTGTTTTATATTTATGACAATAAAGCTGAATATTCACTGTAAATAACAATTTGGTCTATCAGGCCATTAATCGTGAGGCAGTTCCAAAATATTCTACATCCCTATTTCAATGACCCCCCCCCCCGGTAAAAAGCCAATCACAAAACTCTACGTCGTGTATGAATGGTCATATTGTGTACGGACCCCCACTTACTATCTGATACCACAAGCATCACAGTAGGATAATGTACAAGATTACTAAAAATGGCACGGTAGATACTTCATAGATGCTACAGTCCAGCAGACAACCTTAAAGTGCTGCTCCCCTTTCACACGTGCTATTACAATTTGTATTGTTCCATGAAATTACATATTTGGCATGTTTTATGATGATGCTGTAAATTGTTGTTTAAGTTTTTGGGCGTATTTCATTCAGTTGTGAATATTTATGCAAACAATCTATTCGCATTAAACAAAATAAGAGGAAGGAGAAGAAAAATCTACGCTACAAAGTTTTCCTCGATTTGTGAAGATTTTCGTCAAGCTGTCAGTATAAATCGGCCGTTTTTGTATGTATTTTCTGGCCAGCCCGGTTTAATACGTCGAACAGACTACATGTATGTTCTCGTTGTTGTTAAAGGTAAAGACCAGTATTGGAAACGCCCCAATTTCAAAAAATGAAATGGAAGCTCTCATTACCAATCATGTGAAAGAATATGTTTTGACTAATACATGATGATCAAAAAATTGAGGGAAACCGCCTGCTAATTCATATATTTGGTAAATTTGTTTCTCCCATGGTCTGTGAGAGATATAGGTTAGTCCCATATACATCTTTCTGTGTATAGTGCTTGTAACTTTACGAAGAATGGGCCAAATTTCTTATCATTTTGATGATTCCAGAACCTTGCAGATGCTAGATGCTAGATGATCAACCTTTTCTGATCGATTCCACAACGTTTCTTTCACAATGCAATCGCATGACCATAACTGGTTTTTACCTTTAAGGTTTATAGGCGTTTCTCTTTCAGGAGTGAATATTTACGCCTCTTCTGTTAGGATTTTTTCCTTTCAAATCAGATTTACTTTTTAAAATATATAGATTTGGATAAATAGGATTCTTAAAAGTTAAACTTTTTATTTGATGTTGAAGAGGTCAGTGGATGGCGAGCAAAAGGCATATCGGCTATATTTGGAGGTCTAAGGACCAATGCAGACACGGTACGTTGTGACAAGTTTCCCAACTCAACCAAAGGATGAGTAGGCGCCACCACATTTCTTCCAAATTTTGTCCGAAAACCATTAAAAAACAGATCATATACATGAAGATTCTGAACATTAATATAGGAATTTCTTTTTTCTCTTCTTGAGTACTTTTCTAATTTAATTTTGTCCTCTTCTTCTTCTTCATGTATCACTGACTATAGATAAGAGAACATCTTGGGCTCGAAAATTTATGTGCAGTGCAAGGTGGTTAGTAGGGGTCCAGGTGTAATTCTAAATAAGACGTTCTTCAGTGACTTGTAAAGAGTCACCATAGGCAATTAATAACTTAAATAGTCCGCAGGGGCACCTATTAATAATCACAGCATCGAATGGTGTCCGCACAAGATATATGTATATACAATTATATAAATACCTCGATGTAGTTCCTATATGGATGAAGTAAGTACACACGTAGAGTTGGTTTCTCTGCATGAGTCATGACGAGAGCCTGGAAGACTAAACATCTCAACTGGAGTCCTTGAAGATCGGTCGATGACAGAGCCCAGACTTGAAGATGACGTGTATGAAACGTGATTTTGTCTTTTGAGGTTTTTGACGGAGTCAAGT